GCTGTTTATTGTTGATTGTGAGATGCTCACTGTATCGATATAGTGGAAGGCAGGTATAAAGACAGTATTTTGAGATTTTCTTCTGCACTAAAAAAAAAAAGCCTTCCACATGATAAGTATTCTCTGAAACTTCAGCTTCCACCGAACAAAATGTTTAGCGTTTCCAAACTACCACCATTTGTTTTGTGCTGGTGAGCTGCCAGCGGCACCGGGGCTTCTGTTCCCTCTAATTCTTAAAGGATTCCTAGTCCAAATAATGGCCGTTCTACCTTTGAGACAGGTCCAGTGTGAAGGTTTCCTTGGTGGGGTTTACTTCCACTTTTCCTGGACTTGAGAAAGAAGCCAGGCAGGTGAACATTCTCTGCTGGGGGCGGTTACACTTTGCCTCCCTTCCCCCGCTTTGAGACGGCCATCTTGAAGCACAGCAGCAAATACAAATACTCGAATGCTCCCTAAGCCTTCCTGGCATATTGAGACATGACTTCCTCGTCCATTCAAGAGTCACCTCAAACATGCACGCGGAGAACACTTCTCAGATTCACAAAGAATCGCAAGAGCCAAAGCCCAGCCTGTCCACCTGACCTTGAAGCACCACATCTGAGTCTTCTCAGCCTCCACCTTCGGGGACACAAGAGCACTGACAACCCAGTGGCAATCCTCAGAGGGTTCCTACAGGCTTCGGGTGAGCAGCCCGAGTCCAGGCTCTGGACAGTTTTCTCCTCATTCTGAGAGTGACCTCAGGTTTAGGGGTTGGCTGGCCTGACAATACAGAGGCAGAGGGCCACAGAAGCATCACCGTGCTGCTGAGGACCCTCGTACCTTCTTGAGATGTGTCCCTTGGTTCTTGGAGCCTCGTGGAAATGATTTCCCACGCTGGCACTCCCCTCAGGGCAGTTTGTGCTAAGATGAATGAGGTGCCGTGGTCCTGTGGCCTCTTCGGGGTCAGCTGATGAGGGGTTCCTGTTCACACCATCTGCACTTTTCTCCCACTTCCTCCTAGAAAGTCCCTGAGCTGTTATCCTCTTCCATCCACTGAGCCCCCATAGCCAGGTGCCCCAGGGCCCGTCTCCTCCAAGTTCAGCAGCGGCTTGCTCTCCTCTAGCCGTCTTGATACGGGCTAAGCCTGGTGGCCTGTTCTCTCTGTACCATGAAGTCATGTGCAGTTCCGGCAGCCATACAACGCATGATCAGAGGAAGTGTTTGTGTGTGTGGGGGACGACCGGAAAGGGAGCAAGGAGGAACTGTGCCCTAATGGCAGACACTGGGCGGCACTCACTGTGTGGCTTTCCAGGAGCTGGGCAAAATGGCCGGGAGAGAGGACTCACAAAGTTAGCCTTGCTTCTAGTGGGATGGTCCGAGTCGATGGAGGCTGCTCCGTGGCATTGTGGAGAAGTAGAGACATTCCCACAATGCCGTTCGCCCTCGTAGGAAGCCTTCACAACAGCTCTCTGACCCAGACAGACAGACAGACAGCAGACCCCCGCCCATTCCACCCCATGGTGTTGTCCAACAGATGGCCAGGAAACCAGCTTTGATGGCGCTGGCTGTTTGGCTGGTGTGTGTGTGGATCAGACCATTCCGGGTTGCCTCTCTTGGCGGTCACCAGAGCTGGACCTGCGGAGTCCGCTGGTGCCTGTCTAGGCCTACAACCTTGAGGAACTGGAAGGAGCAAATCGGAGGCTTTCCAGGCAGCAGCGGTTAGGGCGGAGTCCATGCAGGGCCTGGACTTGGTTCTTATCCTTTTGAGAACCAGTAGTTGAAACAGGCTGCAAGTCAACCCTCAGGAGGCAGGCGGCCAGTGTCGGCCGGGCACATGCCTGCTTCTTGTCCCGTCACCGGCTGCATGCGTGGATGAGCGTCCTATCCGAGGCTGCCCCAGCCTTCTCTGGCCTTGGGAGCCTGAGCCGGCCATCCTTAGAGTTTGTCCTGATCCTCTTCCCTGGCATGCCAGGGAAACAGAAGGCAGTGACAGGGTAGATGTCCCCTGCTCGCAGTGGATCACCGGCCAGTCCATCTGCATCAGAACCATGAATCCACAGGCACAGAGATGGCAAGGGCACCTTGGTCAACAGCCCCTCCTTCCTGCTTCGAGTTACCAGAATCGCCCTCCTACCCTTGCGGCACCTCCGAGGGACTGCCCTGGCTCCGCACAGCGGAGGACCCTGAAGTTCTAGGTGGCCTCAGGTAGGACAGAGACCCATGAGATGCTCCAGCGCTCAAGGCCTATGAGAGTCAAACTGATGTCCCTCCACTCCCAACGTGCTCTTCTCTCCTGGGCAGCTATAAATAGGGCTCTGCTAAGAGGAAAAAGAAAAACCAAACCCCCTCCCTCTAGACGACACAGGAAGACTAGAAACGATTGCACTTCTCAGATGTGGACAGGCTAGGCGGGCGGCCTGCCAAGGGCGCACACACACTCTTGCTGCTCACAGCCCGAGGCCAGAGGTAGGCAGCTCCAGGCTGGCTACAGAGTGGGGTCCTCTCTGGTGGAGCCCACAAGCCACCTTGGGCCGCAAGGGAAAAACTGTGGAGCAAGGTCTAGGCTGGTGGTGGTCACTGGCAGGTTTCTTTAAGGAATGCACTTAGCAAGGGGAGAAAGTCTCCCCACGGAGCACTTGGGTGGGGTGAGGGCATGGCTGGGCCAGGGAGGACTGGCAGCTGGCAGGGAAAAGGCTAGTGTCTGAGGCTGGCTCCACTCGCTTTGCAGGCCGGTCCTTTAGGGCATAGTTTTCTTTTCTTTCTGCTTTGGGCAATGGTTTAAAAAAAAAACCTGCTTTCTGTCCCACAGAGCTTTCTGGGAGCGTCGTCACTGGGAGCCCTGGTGGGACTCTGGCACACAAGATAGTGCCTGTTGCTCTCCCTCCTCAGCCAGGGTCCCCCCCCCCAGTGGTATGGAGCGCTTGTAAACCCTATGGAGTCAGCCCCAGGCAGGCAGGCAGATGAGAGGCGCTGTACAGGTAAGAACGCCAACCGTGTGGGCACCCCAGGGCCAAACCGTGTGCCCGGCAGCCCGCGTTGGCACAAAGCTGCTATGTCAGGGGCTTCTTTGGCAGGACTCTGGGCACACAGTGGGGGTGTTCCGGCTCCTGGCTAGCAAGGCACAACCCTAGAATGGCAGAAGCTTTTCTTCCCCACCCCCACTTCCTAGCAGACCCGACCCTGTTCTGGGCCTCCGACACCCTTCCAGAGACAGGTGGGGGCCGGGGGGGATGTGAGCTGGTGAGATGGGCAGAGGAGAGAGTTCTATTTCTTCACCTCTGGGGGAACAGGGACAGCACTGAATGGCTTTTCCAGGGAACATGTAAGAAAGAAGTAGAGAGAGAAAGAGAGAAGACAAGGTAACCAGGAAGACAGGAGGGGAGAGGGCCTGGTGTAGAGATAGTTCTCCTCCAAAAGGAGAGGACAGGTTCTTGTCTGAGGTTGGGGTGCCAGCTCTGAGGGCCAGGGAGTCGGCGCTCTGGAACCTGCGTCTCTGGGCCCACGGGCACTATTTGTAAGGCCTCAAGAAGCTGGAGACTTTGGAGCGGAGCAGCTTGATGAAGGATTTGGGTAGCATCTCCTTGTGTTTCTCTGTGTACTTGAAGTAGTTTTGGGGGTGGGCCAGGACCTCAAAGAAGGCCTTGATCAGCTTCTTGTCCTGCAGAGACGTCAGGTGGCATTACTCAGCAGCCCCCCTTTATGTCTAATGGCATCTCACGCTGAGCATGCCCAGAGGTGACCCCTGGACTCTTCCTACCATCTGAACCCCGCAGCTCAGTTAATGGCAGCTCGAGCCCTCTGCCACTCGGGGCCTGGTCTGGGGAGCCATCGTGAGCCCCACTTTCTCACAGCTACAGCAACTGTTGGCTCCTCCAGAGTGCACCCAGGGGCTGACCAGTCCGTCTGTGCCATCTCAGTGGCTGCCACTCTGAGCCAAGGCACCATAGTTTCTCCCTTAGACCATTTCAATAGCTGCTCTATTTCTTTGTTCTGTTTTATATGCTGCTGAGGCTGAACCTAGGCAAGTATTCTTTTCTTTTTTCTTCTAGACTTACTTCTGTGCCTTTCATCTGTGTGTGTGCCCTACATGTATTCCTGGTGCTAGAGGAGGTCAGAAGAGGTTGTTGGGGTTCCTGGAACTGGAGTTGAGGTTGTTGGATTCTCTGGAACTGGAGTTATGGATGGTAATGAGCCACTGTGTGGGTGCAAGGAACTGAACCCAGGTCCTCTGCAGGAAGTAGCAAATGTTCTTAACTGCTGAGCCAATTCTCCAGCCCCTGGGCATGTATTCTATTACTGAGCTATGGCCCCAGCTCTCTCGTTACTTTTTGAGACAGGGTCTCACTAAGTTGCTCAATCTGGCCTTAAACTCACTTTGTAGCCCCAGATGACCTAGAACATGCCATCCTCCTGCCTCGGTCTTTTGAATAGCTGGGATTAGAGGTGTGAGCCACTAGGCCTGGGCTTGATCTCCATCCTTGTCCCACCATAGATCAGTCTCTTCGCAGCAGCTACAGTAGGGTGGTTACTTCATGTCTGAAACACATTTTTGGTTTCTGTTCTCTGGATTTTCTTTCCTGACATGAGGCCCGGCTAGCTTGTGTAGGGAAATCTTAAACTCGGGGTTCAGATGGTCCTGGTACCTGAGCTGTTCCAGTAGCCGGATCTACAGGCAGCTACATCACATCCTGTCTGGTGAAAGTTTATTCTTTTTATAACGATGACAGTAACGGTGGCGCTGGGAGCTGAGCCTCGGGCCTGACAAGCATTTCTCCACCACTGGATACATCCTCCCCCCACCCCCCCACTCCCACTTTCTTTCCTCACTCACAATACAAGTCAGGTCCTCTTTGCAGCATGCTAGCCGTGTGTCTGTCCTCTGTGAGGCATGCTAGCTGTGTGTCTGTCCTCTGTGCAGCACGCTAGCTGTGTGTCTGTCCTCTGTGCGGCATGCTAGCTGTGTGTGTGTGTCCTCTGTGCGGCATGCTAGCTGTGTGTGTGTCCTCTGTGCGGCATGCTAGCTGTGTGTCTGTCCTCTGTGCGGCACACTAGCTGTGTGTCTGTCCTCTGTGCGGCACACTAGCTGTGTGTCTGTCCTCTGTGCGGCACGCTAGCTGTGTGTCTGTCCTCTGTGCGGCACGCTAGCTGTGTGTGTGTCCTCTGTGTGGCACGCTAGCTGTGTGTGTGTCCTCTGTGCGGCACGCTAGCTGTGTGTCTGTCCTCTGTGCGGCACGCTAGCTGTGTGTCCTTTGTGCCCTGCTTCTCCTCTACTCTTCCTCCCCTGTGGAACCTCAAATACACCCCACTACCGCCGTTCTCACTAGTGTGGAATACTCCTTTCAAGTCCTTTCCTCCTGGCGTCTCCTGCCCCCTCACTAGATGCCAGGGACTGTACCTTAGACCCGCCAGGAAATGGCACTGTCGACCTCAGCTCAATCCCCAAGACCCACGGGGGGGGGGGGTGGTGGTGGGAAGCACTCCTCCAAATTGTCCTGACCCACACATGCACATACCCCCACCCCCGCTACAAACCAACAGAACTAGCAACACATCTCCTGCGTCTAGGCTGTACCCACAGATTCCTGAAATGGGTGGGGCTTCCAGCCTCTCAGCTCCACTTTAATCAAGTTGTACTCTACTGTCCTTTGGTTTGGGGACAGAGACTCACTGTGTGGCTAGGGCTGGTCTGAAGCTCACTGTAGACCAGGCTGACCCAGAGCTCACAGAGCTCTGCCTGCCTCTGCCTCCACCTCCCAAGTGCCGGGATCAGCAGTGCGCACCGCCGGACCTAGAGCAGCGGCACTGTGTTGTAAGTTGTAAAAGATGGCCGCACTGCACATCTGATTGGCTGTTGGGGATGGGGTCCTTTGTGTTGCCCAGGCTAGACCCTTAACTCTTGGGCTCAAGTAATCCTCCCACCACAGCTCCTCGACGGTCCAATCCTTATGTGCACACCGTCACACCCAGCGACGTTTGATTTGAAATAACGGTCAGGGCTAGAGAGACAGCTCCGAGGTTAAGAGCATAGGACAGAGGACCTGGGTCCTCTGAGGACCTGGCAGAGGACCTGAATGCAGTTCCCAGCATCCACACCGGGTGGCTCACAGCCGCCTGTGACTCCATCTCCAGGGGATCGGATGCCTCTGGCCTCCCAGCACTCACAGGCACATAGCTACACAAATACCCATAATTAAAAGTGAAGTAAGGGCCGGGCGGTGGTGGCGCACGCCTTTAATCCCAGCACTCGGGAGGCAGAGCCAGGCGGATCGCTGTGAGTTCGAGGCCAGCTTGGGCTACCAAGTGAGCTCCAGGAAAGGCGCAAAGCTACACAGAGAAACCCTGTCTCGAAAAACCAAAAAAAAAAAAAAAAAAAAAAAGTGAAGTAAAAAAAAAAATTTTGGAAGGCATTGTGTGTATCCCTGGCTGGTCTAGAACTCCATGTACAGACCAGACTGGCCTCAAACTCACCAAGACCCACCTGCCTATGCCTCCCGAGTGCTGGTATTAAAGGTGAGCACCACTACAGACGGCCAGACTCCACAGACCCAGGGCGTTGTCCATTCCTCAATGTCAGAGATGTTTCTTTTCCTCTGATCTATAACCCCAGCACTTAGGAGGCAGAGGCAGGAGGAACTGAAGTTCAGCCTGGACCACATGAGACCTGGCCTAAAACACCGAAGACAACACTGCTCTACGTTTTATGTCCCCTGCATTCTTGATGGGAAAAGTAGAGGACACTTCTTCTCCTCACCTTCTCTTTCACTCCCCCCAAAGTGTGGCACAGCGGGGTAACGCTATAGTTCTAGGAGCTAGACTCAGAGCCCAGGCCGGCCACGGGTGAGCTCTTTAGAGTTCTGTGCCTCAGCTGTCTCATCTGGGGAGTGGCAATGAGCCAGGAAACAGGATGCCCTGCTGGCGCTCAGCGTTTTAGCTGCACATTGGTGCGTGCCCGTTTACGTTCACTTGCCTTTAGGATCTCCTGGTGGTTTTCCGAGGCGTAGAGCCGGCCGTCCCGCACTATGTCTTCCACCAGCTGCTCATAGTCCTCTGTGAAGCCAACCAGGGCCAGGGGCTGAGGGTGGGAACTCTTTGCCCCCCTGGTTCCCTCATGAGACCACCCCGCCGCTCCACCCCGCCTGTCCTTGCTCACCATCATAGGTCACGTAGGGAATCTGGAAGCCTCGAGCGCTGTTGGCTTCACTAGTCTTGAAGTTGATCCAGAGTTTCCTGGAGCGGGCCGTGAAGGCGATGGGACGCTCATAGGTCTGGCAGGTCTCATAAGTGGTGATGGAGGATGGCGAGGCTGGCAAGGCAAGCGTCAGGTCAGAAAACAGTGGGGCTCCCTCCCCCCCACACGCCTGCACGCTCCCTCCTCCACCGTTCCCGGGGTTGGTCTGCATGCTGAAACTGCACGATCACGTGGTGTATTAAAATTGACATTTACGCCATCAGAACAACAGAAGGGCTAGGGTTAGAGGCCATGCGTTCAGCAGCACCGGCAGCCCAGCCTGAGGCTAGCTTCTTCGCCGCTCTCCACCAAAGGTCCTGTGCCAGCTGCTGTCCCCAAGGCTTTGCTCACATCTGCTCTCCTGGGTTCCCAACATCACTGCCCCAGCTCTTCCTCTTTCCCAGCCAAATCCCAGCTGTCCTTCCCTGAGCCCACTCTGGAGACACCCACAGTTCTTTCTCATGACGAGAACGTCCCCACACTCGTCCTCGGATGGCAGGAAGATCTCAGGGACCACGATAAGGATCTTGCGCTTGGGTGGGGGGTTGATGTTCCAGATACACTCCACACCCGCTGGGTAGTTGCCCGGGTAGTTGGGAGACTCGATGTAGCCAGTGAATTCACCCAGCTCCCCACCACACTGCCGGTCTGCAGCCACACCCCAGGAGATAGAACAGAAAAAGGATGCAGCGTCAGCAGGGGACCTTGCTGAGCAAGCTGAAGAGTTTGAAGATGGAGGACAGGCATATAAGGTAGCCACCATGCTAGTTCACCATCTGCTCTTCAAGTTCTGGGTCCACCCTCCTTCCTGCCCTTTCATGCCTGAAAGGATGCTCCAGGCTTAGCCCGAGGGCTGGCCTGGAGACCGAGGGGACTGGGACCATGCGGAGGTTGGACTTGCTGCTGGCTCACCCCCCACCCCTTATCCCACGCCCACGGCTCCGAGATCTCTCTCCACTTCCCACAGGCTGGCCTGCCGCGTACTCTTGCACTGGGCCACACTGGTAGAGCCGTCAAAGTCGGTGCTTGTGTTTCCCGGGCAGCGGGTGCAGAAGTTCTGGCGGAAGTGCGGCTGGTAGGAGCCCATGGCGCAGCGGATGCAGCGGTGGGTGCTGGTGTTGTAGTAGTGGCCCGGGGAGCACTGGACTGCAGCAGGGGGGAAGGGGGCATGAGCTGAGGCGGTAGGGAGGTGGGCATCTGGGCGGAGGACGGGCAGGACACGTTGGTCATGGAGAAGCAGGAGATCAGCGGCTCCCAAGCTCCTTCTGGGGTCCCTACCTTTCCCAGTCAGGCCAGAATTTAAGGCCAGGGAGAAGCCTTTGCCGAGTGGCTGGCTGCAGCGCCAGGCTCCTCCTGCAGGCACTGGGCAGTGCCAGACTGGTGGGGGAGCTCACTTGCGGGTGAAGGGGACGGCAGTCTGACAGTGGGTTACTGGTTACTTTGTATTCCCGGGTAGGTTTGGCTGGGCACCCGGAGCTTTACTTTCCAGGGAATATGGCAGGCTAACACACCCAGGTCTGCTTTGCAAGGGACTTGGAAAGTTTCGGATGCCAGGGAGGCCCCGGTGGAATAAGGAACCTCCTCACCTTTGGTGTCACAGTCCTGGAAGGAGATTGCCCCCTCATGCTTGGTAGTGAGGCCTCCACCACAGGGGAAGCACAGGGTTCGTCCTGCTTCGGGCTGATAGGTGCCCCGTGGGCATGGCTGGCAGGGCTTGAACCCGTCTACTGAATGTTGGCCAGGTGGGCACTGACCTGCAGTGAAGCAAGGGCCCAACTCTGATGGGGTGGTTCCTCTGTCACTCCACGGGGTCACCCCAGTCTCAGGGAACAGAGGCATACGAACAGGACATCAAATGGAGAGCGGCCTGGAGCCTGGGCCTGCCCTTTGGAAAATCCCATGCCCACGGCCGTCCCAGGGCCCACCCTAGCCCAGTCTGTGGCGTTTGCTCCCCTGGCACCTGCACACGTGGTGACGTTGGTGGCTCCAAGAGGCCCATGGGCATCACTCCCAGGGCAGAGGTCGCAGGAGAGCTGCCCTTCCCTCTCCTGGAAGGTGCCCGCTGGGCATGGCACACACTGCTCCGTCTGGCCGTGGTAATACGTTCCCTGCGGGCAGCTGACTGAGGGAGAGTCGGCCGCGCTAGCCACCCCCCATCTCCCACCACCCAGGCCTAAGACCCCTTCCCACTCCTGCAGATATGGGGGACGTCTGTCAGGGAGTGAACAGAACCGTGCTTAGAGAGGTGGGGAGCTCAAGTCTGTGTGCGGGAGGGCTGCTGGCCCTGCCCGGTGTCCTAGATGTCAGCCTGGGACCAGGGAAGGGAGGACAGTGGTCAGCAGGGTCCTCACTGCCTCCCCGTTTGAGATCAGCACCTGAGGCAAAGGGTCCGGCTCCGCTCTGAGCCAGGGCCGTTAGGCCTCCCCCGCTCCCCACATCCTTGGCTTCCCATCAAGCTCTCTTACCACACTTGGTGCCCGTCCGGTGCTGCCCGGGCCTGCAGACCTCCGCCGGCTCTGCTCGGTCCCCAGCTCCCTGGCCTGGCTTGTGGGCCAGCTCATAGTCCAGGCCTGCCAGCCGCAGCAGGAAGCGGTCCTGGTTGATGGACTTCCTGAGCATCTTCAGGGACCCTTTCAGCCTTCGCTCCATCCTCTGTCGGAGGCAAGGCAGCCCGCAGCTGGCTGGGAATGGACGGTTGTAGGAGTAAGAAAGGATGAGAGAGTGGTCAGAGCGGAAGGCGGGGAGCAGTGGCAGGAGGCAGATGCTCGGGAGAGAGGCGGCGGTCCAGGCGCTAGCTCGCTGCTTGCCGCCGGCACGGGCCGAAGGCGCGGGTGCCCCTCTCTCGACTGTCTCCTGGACCCGGGCTTGCCTTCCTCTTTGGCCCTCCACCCGACAGCGTCATAGGCCCACCTGTGGTTTCCTCCGCCCTGACCTCAGCCTCCAATTCCAGGGTGAGCCGGGTAACCTCCTTGCCAGGGGTCCGTGCCCGTCGGCCCTTGCCCTTGCGAGAAGAGTCACACTTAAGGTGGATGAAGGTGACTTGGCAGTCGGAGCAAGGGGTACCACCTAGAAACAGAGGCCTTGTCAACTCCAACCTCAGGGGCTCCCGCTGCAGACAGAGTTCTCCGTCCTGGCTCTCACTTCCCCGTTGAGCCCAGGCAGCCCTGAGTCCACCTCTGCCTGCAACCTTCTCCTTGGCTCCTCTACCCAGGGGAAGGGATGGTGGGGCTTCTCGGGCCCTAGTCTACAATGCCCCCCCACCCCCACCCCCCATTTTCTGTCCAGAGTTGAGGGTGCAGGTGACTCGCTGGACAGGACCAAACGGGCTGAGGGGCACGGGAGAGTTCGGTGGGACCCATCGGAGTGCAGTCCAGACCTGGCCCCGGGGCTCTGCTGGCTTCCTCTGCTCGGCCTCTGTTCCGCAGATGCAAACGGCATTTGGCGTCCTTGACCTTGAAGGAGGCCCGCTGCTTAACTGACAGCGCGGCAGCTTCTGCAGGGGGGAGAAGGGCTCAGCACAGCCTGGGGCAGGGGTGAGGCTGCAGCGGGAGGGGGCAAAGCTGGGCAGTGAGGGTCAGCGGGAGAGCAGTGTGGGAGAGCCGAGGGCGTCCGCATAGGAGGCCAAGGTAGAGGGTCATGTGAGGCCGGGGGATGAGTGAGAGAGAGCTGTCCTGTTCAGGGAGGGGGAGGGGGAGGAGGGGGGGAGGGGGAGGGCTCTGTGCTCACCGTGGCAGTAGTTGGGGGTGGTGCTGTTCCCAGGGTGGGTGACTCGGGCTGCAACAGCTTTGGGGCTCGGGGTACCACAGCTCACGGTGAACCCATTCTCGGACTCTGAGAGAAGGGGCCGATCACAACTCTGACCCGCCGCCGCCTCCCAACCCCCAGTGGTCGCAAGAACCCCAGGGGGGCAGAGGGGCCGCTCAACAGCCAGCTCCTCCCCCAAGCTCTCCAAGCCCCTCTTCCCACATACCTGGCAAAAACCGGGCCCTGGAGGGGCAGGTCAGGGCACACGTGTCCTTCTTGCCAGACCGATTGCAGCTAAGCATGGCTTTGGAGGCCCCAGGACTGCCCTGACACTTCACCGGCTCTAGGAAGGGAACCAGGGCCTGAGGATGTGGGACAGGCCCCGCCCACCTTCTCCCTCAGATGGTTAATTCGGAAAAGGAGATTATCTATGTGCAGGACTACAGATGTGTCCAAGGACACTGGACACATCTTATAGAAATGGCATGCCTAGCCCAGCTGGCTACATTCCTCCCCCTTCTCCCCCTCACATCTTCCCACCAGACCCCAACCTTCCCCTGAAACAGCATTGCCAGGTCCGGCCAGCAGAGGGCACCACACACCTGTGCAATCCTTCCCGTTCCAGTGCAGGCGGCCCTGGCCCGCCGGGCAGGTACACTGATAGCTGCCAGGGGTGTTGATGCAGCCAAAGCGGCAGCCTCCCTTATTGATGCTGCATTCGTCCACATCTGTGGGAGGAGCAGGGAGACAGACTGGCGGCGGTGGCGGTGGAGGCGGCGGAGCCAGGACTGGGCCGCAAGTGAGGACCTTTGGTAAGTGTCTAGACACACTGAGCTATGCAAGGTGAGGGAATACCTTATAGAGATCCCGTGTGTATTTACAGATCTGTCAGGTAGGGGGAGCCCATGTTAAATATTCTCACAGAGACACTGAAGGGTTCTCTGGCCTGTGGAGAGCTCAAACGTCTTCCTCTTCTCTCTATCCCTAGTCAAAGACACTGTTGAGCGGGTGCCAACTTGAGGAGCAGTTCAGTGCCTTCCGCTCTCGCCCTCTCACTGGCTAGAGCCTGAGGGTGGCTCTCTGGGGATAGTGATGGGGATGGAGGGTAGAATTCAGGAGCAGAGCCTGGGCACGGTGGGGGACCGCCTGCGGTCTCAACCCTTGCAGGTGGAGGCAAGAGGATCAGGAGGTCAGGGTCACCGCTGGCTACGGCCTCGAGTTCATGAAACCCTAAAATAAACATCCTGCTGGCGGGGTGCTGTTCCCTGGTGCCCAGGCTGCCAGCTGGCCTGGCGAAGCTTTCTTCTCTTTTGTCATGTTGGATGCAGACATGACACATGCATCCAGGGGTTTCCTATCGCCACAAACCAGCACGGGGGCACCAGACATTGGGGGGCAGAGAGCTGAGGACTGAGGTGGCTGGGGAGCTTGCTGGCTTACCCCCGCAGTGAGTGACACCATACAGCAGGTAGCCACGATGGCAGAGACACTGGAAGCTTCCTGGCGTGTTGACACACATGTGGTCACAGGTTCGATCAAAGGAGCACTCGTCTATGTCTGGAAGAGCAAGGGTTTGAGACCCTGAGTCTGTCTGACCCGTGCTCAGGTGCAGGACTTTGGCGTTGAAGGAGACCCCGGACTGCCTCCAGGTCTGTGACTGAGCAGGACCAACACCCTGGGACCCGACCCTTGCCTGGAGTTGATCAGGGTCTGGAACGTGTGTGGGTCATGGCCTAGCTGCAGCAGACCACATCTGGAAGGACCTGGATTGTGGTGCAAACTCTCCCACCCCCTGCCACGCTGTGTGCTCTAGCATGGAGCTGTGGTCTTGGAGGAGGGAGGAGTCCCAGTGGCTGCCTGTGGCTCACACTGCCGGTACGGTACAGATGCGCCCATGTCCACGGAGCTGTTTAGACTCCAGCATCCCTGAAGCTCTCACACCCAAGAGCCTCTCCAGAAGACCCCCACCCTGCTCACCCTGGCAGCTCCTTTCGTTGATGAGGAGTTTGTAGCCCTTCTTGCAGCTGCATTCAAAGCTGCCCACCGTGTTGCGGCAGATGTGGTCGCAGCCCCCATTGCTCAAGCGGCACTCGTCTATGTCTGGGGAGCAGACAGAAGAGAACAGAGGACAGTACTGAAGGCTAGGAGCAAACCGGAGACAAGGGAATCGGGGAGGGGCCTGGAGGCCTTCTAACCTGGCTGCCACCGCCAGGCCCCATGTCTTCCCTGTCAGGACATCTGGCCCTACAGCACCTTTTCTCCTGGGGCTGAGTCTAGGAACCACCTAGACCAGCAGAGAACAACCGTCTGGGGACCGTTAGGGGGCCAGGAGGCCATCTGAACTCCAGGCTGGTCCACATCCCTTACTCTGCAGCTGGTAGCCCTTCCCAAGACTGTAGGCAGGGCTCCTTCGGATCCCTGACTCCGGTCACAAAGGTTGGGGCAGGAACGCTGGGGCGGGGGGGGGGGGGGGGGGGGGGGGGGGGGGGGGGGGGGGGGGGGGGGGGGGGGGTAGGCTGGTTATATAAGGAGAGCCTAAGGGCCTTGCTGGCAAGGGGCAGCCTTCAGGGAGGAGGAACCCCAGATAGAAAGGACTTCCGAGAGAGAGAAAGGCTGCGATGAGGAGCGGGGGCCAGGCAGGGGACTGGACTGCAGCGGTCTGGAGAAACTCAGAGCCTGGCAGCTTTGGGTACTGGAGGGAGAGGGGCGGGTGAACAGCTTCCTTCCTGAGGTCAAGTTCCCCTAGCTGGTGGCAGACAGGACCCAGGCTACTCACTACTCCTGGAGGGAGGGGGCAGGGACTCCACTCTTAGTCTACCTGTCAACAGTCCTTCCCAGCAGGAAACCTCTCAACTGCGGCAGCTGACCTGGTGCCCTGGCCCTCCCCCTCCTGCAGCTGTTGGGCCAAAAGACACAAAGAGGGCGCCCGCCCCGCACTACCTCCCTGTCCCCCCCTTCCCTTCCCCTGACCAGAGGACACAGACATGATGAGTCATCATTTTCAAAATGGCTGCCCTCCCCCCTTCTCCCTCGGGGTCCACAAATGGCAGCTAACTGGAAGGAGGGGACGTACAATGGCTGGGGTGGGAACTCAAACCACAGTGACGCTAACCCGAAAGGTTCCCCACGCAGACTGTATACACGCTAGATTGTATACAGTTCATCCCCAGCACATCTGTGAGCGGGGTGCAATGGAGGGCGCCGGCCACGGCAGCCTGGAGGAAGCGGCCCAGGGCCACCGCCCTGGAGCAGACGAGCCGGGCTCTGACCCCGCAGCAGCCAGGCTCTCATGTAGGTGCTTCTAACGCTCCCCAGTACAGCTTTCCTAGGGGACATACCCTTCCAGAGCCGCGGGGGAGACCTGAGGAAGGCAGGTCCAGAAGGTTAAAAAGCCCCCGTGACCTCAGGCACAGCCAGCTCAGATGTCCTTCTAGCTCAGGGATGGCCATGTCCATTCTCCCCAGGGCAGGGACAGGGTGAGAGTCCCAGGGGAGCAGAGGCCCAGGAGGCAGCAGCACAGTGCCAGCTGGACCCGGTGCCCTTAGCTCTGTCCGGGCTTCTTTGTAAGGGGAGTTGAGGCGGTGTGGCCGGGTAGGAGCTCTCTCACCCCGTCCTCTGGTGGAGGTCGCCACGTGCCTGTGCACAGGCCTCCTCACCTTTGCAGGTCTTCCGGTCTGGCTGCAGCATGAAGCCCACGGGGCAGCTGCAGTGCACCCCGGTCGCTGCGTCGTGGCACTTACTGTCGCAGCCTCCGTTGTTGACGGCACAGGTCTCTGTGAGGGAGGCGTGGGTAGTGGCGGGGTTACGGCCTAGAAGACCGCCACTCAGGTAGCAGGGCCTGAGGGCAGGCCTCGCCCGCCCGCCCGCCCGCCCGCCCGCCGCCGTGCTGGGGTTCAGCAGAAGCCCTGGGCTCCAGCCTCCCCTTCCTCCCAGGGCCCTGGGCTCCAGCCTCCCCTTCCTCCCAGGGCCCTGGGCTCCAGCCTCCCCTTCCTCCCAGGGCCCAGCCCTCACAAGCGCAGCCAAGCGCTCCACATCCCTGCCCCCTACTTGATTGAAACAAGGTGGACAGCGGTGAGGCAGGTACAAGCCGGAGCTGTCAGGCGGGAATGTGCTGGGGGGTGGGGGTGGGGAAGCAGGAGAGATGAAAGCGAGGGGGGGGGTTCCTGCCCGCCAGGGAACAGAAGGGACAGACCAGTTTCCTCCCATCTAGGGGGTGGGGGGCTCACGGCGGACAGTCTCCTAATAGGTTTGGTGGGAAGAGTGTCTCAAGACACTGAGGGCTGCCCATTGATCTATCCTTCCCCGACACTGCAGGCCTGACCCCTGCCTCGGAGGAGAGAGCCAAGCCGGGTCATCCACCTTTAACTCCTCCCCCAACCCTCACGTCCACTGGAAATAAGCTGGCTGGTTCTTTAATTTTGCTGATGAGATAATGTGTAAGAGTTGGCTAGAGAGAGGGGGAATCCAGAGGGAAGGTGGAAGGTCACAGCAGAGTTCAGAGCCCTCCTTGTCGGCCAGAGCAGGAGGAAAACAGATGTCAACAGCTGCTTTGGGGAGGGGGTCCGAGGGAGAGCCGCCAGCCCCAGGAGCCCAGAACCTGACATGGGAACCTGGAGGGATGTGGCCTGTCCTGGAGGCACCAAGCATCCTCCCATTAGCACCCCAAGGTCCCCATGGGGCAAGAGAGGAGAGCCGTTCTCAGAATCAGGATGTCAGGTCCGCCCTTGTCCCCACTGAGGGCAGTGTACCGGGGCTCTAAAAGAAGCCCACCTCTGCCCGCCAGTCCCTGGCATGCCTGGTCTGGAAGCAGCCGCAGTGGGTTCTCCTCTCACTGTGGTCCCCCCCCCCCCCCGAGGTTCCCCCAGGCCACAAGGAGCTCAAGTACAGTTCCCCCCACCCCCTAGAAGGACTTGAAGTGTGGAAAGAGAGCCACCAAGGCCTGGACAAGATCCTGTCTGTGTGTAGATCCTCGGGAGGACCCCGGATGGGCACAGAACTGGCACAGTGCCCACCCCAGGCTGCACCAGGAAGTGGACAGTTGCTCAGAGCAGGGAGGGTGTCAGGAGGGCATAGCCTGTGTGGGGCCCTGACCACATGCTACATGCTGTCCTAATCATTCCCTCCTCCTGCAGATGAGTGGGCCGAGCGGCAGAGCAGATGGGGCTCACTCGAGACTGGCAGAGCCAGGATCCAAACCCAGGGCTGCTGAACCCAGTGTCAGGCAGCGATCAGCAGCTGTTGTTGGGTGATGCACTAGCAGTCACCCAAGAAGGATGACCCGCAGGGGACAGGCACCCAACTCTGACGCGCCTTATCTCGGTGGCACCGTGGGGATGGTGGGTAAGGTGGCACTGGCTGAGGCTTTAGATGCAGTGGCAGAGGGGTGCTGACGGCTGGGGAGGGGGTGGGGTGTTAGCAGGTGGTAAGGGACTCAGGTTCCCTGACCCCTGATGGGTCTTGTGCCTGCATTGCCAGGGGAGCCCTGCTGGGCATGCGGGTTAGTGGGAGCCCCGGCGGGTTAGCCCTTCCCTGCAAGCCAGTGCGAGCGAGCGAGCGAGCGGGCGGGCGGAGAGCGGACATATTTACCGTTAGAAACGGCCTGGGTGGGCGCGCGCTGCTCTAGCCGCCTCTCCCCTGTTTGACATTGTGAAGAAGCTGTTCAGACGGGGGCGGGCGCCACCGCAGCCCACCTGTACCCTCGCCCCGAAGGGCCAAACCACTAGCCCCGTGTGGTGATCCCTGGGCCCCCAGATTAGCCTCGTTCCTCAGCCTCGTCCTGCCTGGCACCCTCGGAGAAATGGGGTCCCCACCAAGTGACTATAAAACAGAGCCTGGGTCTCAGAGAGCAGCTGTGGGTCCAGCCCCCCCCAGCACGTCAGAGGCAAAGCTGGCAGGAGACGTCAAGCCTTGCGTTCAGCCACCTCCCAAATCCCTTCTGTTTTAACCGCACTAAACTCCCAGTCTCCCCAGTCTGAGTGCCCCGGTAACCCAGTGACATTTCCTCCCACCACGGCAAGTGAGCTCGTCTCCCTCAGAGCAGAGGGAGAGGGACGGAGAAGGCACAGGACATTTGCTCTGTCCTGCCTGGATGCCGCTGCCGCCGCTGCCCAGGGGGTGCTCTGGGTCTTGGGTTAGAGACGTCAAGCTGGATAAGGACATTTCCAACAAGCAGCCATGTTTGAGAGAGCATCCGAACACAAACCCCAGAGGGAGCCCTGCCTCTTCCCCAGGGGGCCTCTGTCTCTTCTCCCTAGGGACCACATGCAGTTTCTTCCAGAAGGATCTGGGGGGGGTGTGTGTGTGGGGTATCCAAAGGGTGGTGGGAGGTTTGCGAAGCAGATGAATTAGCCCTATCAGGAGAATAGGAAAGGAGCTGGAACAGCCCAGCCAGAGAGAGCAAGAGGAAGACCTGAACCGGTTTTGGGTCTTTGAAGAGTTAGAGCGTGAGCAGGGCAGGAGAGCATTCCGCTGCAGCAGGCCTTTCCATCAACATCTGGAGCAGGCGCTGGGAGCCCTGTGCGAGCCCATCTGCTCCCCGCCCTGTGGCTGAAGTGAAGAGGACAGGGCTTCACAGAGCCACGGTGCTGGCCTTTCCTTCCCCAGCCTGCTCTGGCCCACCAGATGGGCATATCTCCATAAACACCCGTGCCCACAGAGCAAGTACCTATCTGTGCCTGGCTGGAGGCCTGCCTCACCCCTAGCCAAAGCCCTTCCTCTCGTTGTTCCTCCTCTCTAAGGTGACCTTACTGTCCAGTCATCTCGCCACTGAATTAAGAGCAACAGGGAATTTGAAAGGGAACTTGAAGGAATTAGCTCATTCAGGGTATCTGGAGACCCGGTCAGGCCTAGGAATTCAGAAGGGTTTCAGGCAGAGGGATGGAAGGCTGTAGCAGCTGAGGGGTGTGGCAGCCGCAGGCACAGTGGGGAGCCAGTTCCACTGGACGCTGAGTGGGAGGTGGGCCTGGGGGCATCAGGTGAGGGGCAGGGAGGGGATTTGCAGGGGTAAAGAGGAAGCCGTGCCTGGAGCCACCCTATTGTCAGCCCACGGCTAACTAACTGCTCCAGGGACAAGCAGTGTGTCCTGGCCTCTACCGCAGTGGGGACACCGGGCTGCGCAGTCCGCATCTCATGACACTAGTCAACCAGGACCTGGGTCAGCTGCTCAGCTGACCACCCTGGAGTCCCTCCCGTCATCCCTACCGTCTTGTTGACCAGCACTTCTGCTAATGGTTCCTAATTTGGCAATGCAAGAGGAGGGCGAGACTCCTGGGGAGGGCAGACGGTCAAGTGTGCCTTTTAGTCTCTCAGAGCTGTCCCTCACTAGACCTGCCACCTTAGGGGTCTTCATTCTCTCAGCAGTCACTACGCCCAGCCCCCTGGGTCTGCCGCCCCTGGCCCCCTGGGTCTGCCGCCCCTGCAGCTCTCCCAGCCCCTGCCCTGCCCCACTGTCCCAGGTGGCTCGCATGGGTCCCTGGCTTCACCCACCGATGCACGTCTTCCCGTCAGTATGGAGCACAAACTTGACGTGGCAGCCGCACCGGGGACCCTGCTCTGTGTCGTCACACGTGTGCTGGCAGCCACCGTTACCGTAGTTACAGGTCACTGCAGAGAGGGAGGGGACCTGTCAGCCTGCTTTGCCCTCGTGCTGCAGGCGGGCGGGCGGCGGGGCTGCGAAGGCACCCTTGCCTCATCGCCGCCGCCGTGTGCCTCCATGCCTCCCCGTTCTTCCTCCCATCCCTGTTCTTGGGCCGCTGAGGCCCCGCACCCTCCTGTCCCCCCCCCCCCCCCCCCCCCCCCCCCTCTCCTGTCCCCCCCTCCCTCCTGGTTCACGTTTGCAGTCTCGTGAGTTCTTGGTCAGCTCGAAGCCAGGGCGGCATTCACAGGCAATGCCCCCCTTGGGAGTCTCCCGGCAAATGTGGGCACAGCCATGGTTCTTGTTCATGCAGTTCATTCCTTCTAAAAAGGGAAGAGGAGAGGGTGGTACTCCATCTGCACATGGAGGCCTCAGAGGGGTGGGACCAGTTGGGGCTAAGGAGCATCATAGAGATGCTGAGAATTTAGGAAGGACCCAGAACAATCTAAGCCAGGACCTTTTGCTCAAAAAGCTTACACTGAGACTAGAAACCTGAAGCTAGATAACAATCAGACTGAAAAAGTGGGAAATAATCAGCACAGATAATTTCTATGCCACTTTTTTTTTGGAAGGGAGAGGGAGATAGGGTTTCTCTGTGTAACAGCCCTGGCTGTCCTGGAACTCACTCTTTAGACCAGGCTGGCCTCGAGCTCACAGAGATCCGCCTGCCTCTGCCTCCCGAGTGCTGGGGTTAAAGGTGTGCGCCACCACCGCCCGGCTGTGCTACACATTTTCTTAAGTTCCTAGCACAGGTAGGTCAGCACACTAGGGGGTGTGATACAAAGGCAGAGTAGACGTGGCTGTTACCCTCAGGGTAACTCCGCATGGAAGGGGGCGGTGCCGAGGCTGTCCCCAAGAAGAGGCAGCTTTCAGACAAATGCTCACCAACAAGATGCACATCACAGCGGGACCAGAGAACGCCCCAAAGCATTCTCCATTCCATAGGGACCCGATCCCAGACTTATCCCCTAGAGTTTTTCTCTACTACGGTGTCCACACGTGGAGGAGCCCTTGGGCTGTGACTAAGTCAAGGAACAGAGAGGAATCTAGGGTGAGAGACACGGAGTGTCGGGGGACAGGGGCGGAGAAGCCTGGGGGCCTCCCAGGCCACGGGCTGACCTTCCGGCCGCTGGATACAGGTGTGCTGGTTGTCGCTGAGGAAGAAGCCCTCTCGGCAGTGGCATTCATAGCTGCCCATCATGTTGACACAGCTCTGCTGGCAGCCGCCGTTCCCTTCCGCACACTCATCCACATCTGTGCGAGAGACAGGTGATTGCGGGCGGGCAGACTTGAGAACCCAGCCCCCCACACAAGGAAGGCCGCTCTTAGCAAGCATCCCCATCACTTGTGAAGAGGCATGTAGGGGAGCTCAGGTAAGGTGGGGAGCATCCAAGCCTGGCCAGCCTAGGTGAGGACTGCACCCCTCTCCCACACTGGAGAGACTGGGTTTGACCCCTCAAACCTGGAGAGATGGCTCAGCCATTATGAGCACTGACTGCTCTTCCGGAAGACCTGAGTTCCCTTCCCAGTGCCCACTTGGCGGCTAACTGCCTGCAACTCCAGTTCCAGGGGACCCAGTGTCCTCCTCTGGCCTCCAAAGGCCCCTCAGGCGTGTGGTACACAGAATATAGATGCCCACACACACAACCTCTCAATAAATAAAGGCCCTGGGCCCGAGTGCAGAGGTCAGGAGAGGAACCCGAGTGAGAGGGGCATTGGTAAAAGGATGGAGACTAGTCACACTGGCGCAATGGCGTGCCAGGCGTGGCAGCCAGCTGTGATGAGCAGCCAGGAGGTCAGGGAACCCGGGAACGGCTCTGGCCTCAGAGAGCACCATGGCTGTGGTGCTGAAGATGGTAGGGACGGCAGCTGAGTCACAAGTCCTCGTGAGGCAAGGACCATTCTGTGGACAGGCCACAACCCCCCCCCCCCGCCCCGCCCCCGCCCGGGCTCACTGCCACGGTCCCCAGATCTTCTCCTATTTTGGTTTAACAAAACAAAGCTTGGCAGTGTGGTATGGAAGGGTGGGGAGGTGGCCAGGCCACACCCTGGACGGTAGAGCAGGAACAATAGGTGCCCCCAAGTCACCACCCCTGCAGCCACGCTCCCCCGAAGAGCTCACTTCTGTATCTTGACTCTATGCTGCTACTGCCCTCCCACCCTCTACTGCTCCCTGGGGAAACTGAGGCCCACAACATGAACAGTGTTCTCAAGGGTTCCCTAAGAGTTAAAGGGATTGTTGAGGCTTTGAATCTGCACCTTAAACAGACTCTTGTAACTCTGGCCCTCTCAGTACCTGCTCTCTCTCTCTCTCTCTCTCTCTCTCTCTCTCTCTCTCTCTCTCTCTCCTCTCGTCTCTATGGTTAGTCCTTGGTGAGAATTGGTGTTAGAAAGACCCAGTGGAAAGGCCACAGAACTGGAGCTGGCATTCAGTCCCATGGGCACCCCTCCCCTGTACCCAGTGCTTCAGTCCTGTCTCTAAAGAGTCCCTTGGGTGACAGGGCAGAGAAAGCAAGCCCTTCCACAGTAGCAGGGGGACGGGAAGCCAGCTACCGG